TCCCAGTACCTCCCATGGACATCCCCCACTCACGTAGGGCCCTCGCTTGCAGGCCTCATCCCTTCCTCTTGGGACCCCTGGTCACTCCCTCCCACCCTGCCCTCCCCACCTTGGCCTCCTCCCCTTTTCCACCCTGTCCTGTTTCCAGGCTCCTACCCACCCACCCACTGGCCACCTGCTCAGTACAGGGCCGTGGGAGGAGTGGGCTGGCTCTTCCTTTTGCCAAGGCTGCTGGGCTGTGGCCACTGGCTCATGCGGGACGAGAATGCAGAAACATGCCTTTTTTAAACAAAAGATAAAAAGAGAGGAAGTTAGGGCTGCGAGCTTGCTGCCCACACTCTCATTTTGCTGCAGATTCTCCTCTGCCCCTCCTCTCCCTGATCCCCAGCACCGGGGCAGGCAGGGAGGAGCCTTTCCACTTGTGGATGGAGACCTGAGGCTGCGTAGGTAGAAAGAGGGGCTCCTTGGCCCAGACCCTTTCCTCGCCCCATTCAGGGATTTGTGTACCTGGCACTGTGCCCAGTGTTTTGCATGTGTTACCTCCCTTAATCTCCCCAACAAACCCAGGAGGGACATATTATTATAGCCCCCATTTTAAAGGAGGAAACAGAGAGTTGAAGGGCCAAGTTCAATATCACACAGTCGGGGGTCAGTCACGATCGGATCACAGGGCTTTGTGAGCCCAGAGCCGCTGCTTTTTGGGGTCACTCTCTTGCCTTTGGTGGAGTCAGAAGAACAAGGGCAGGTGACCTGGATTCTCTTCACAGCCTCGAGAGGATTATGCCTGCTCCCGTGAGGCTTCAGTTTCCTGATCTGTGAAATAGGGGATCATAATTCCAACTTCACAGGGTTGCTGTGAGGGCCAAGGAGCTTAGTGGTGAATGTGCATTTGAAGGGAGGACATCTTCTGGGTATGTGAGAGGCTGGTGTTCTCTGGATCAGTAGCCCTGAACTGGATTTGATCAACTCCTCCCTCTGAGAATCTGCTAAAAGCTATGCATTCTTGCCCCAGAAAAAAATGCATATGCCTACGTTCCGAGACACAGGGTTCCTGCAGCTGCTCCGCCCTTGGCCTGGACCCCTAGTTCGAGCCTGGGATTTACACAAATCTTGGTGCTGTGTTTTGAGGAGGAAGTTCAGCAAGCGTGCCTTCTCTTGTTTTATAGACATGGCTCTTAGGCCCTCAGCTCCCGGGGCACAGCCCAGGGTCATAGAGCCTCTTGAGCCTCTCTGCACAGAGCCCCCTGTGATGGCCCATCAATGCTGATTTCTAGGGGGACCAGGCATCTAGCAGGACTTCCCCAGAAGGCGGGCAGGGCAGTGCCAAGCTGGCTGGGAAACAATCGCTTGGGCAACCTGTTAACTGGAAATACTGATTTCTGGGCCCGCATCTGAAGGTTCTGATTTGGTAGGTCTGGGAGGGGCCTTGGAATATGTTTTTTTGTTTTTTGTTTTTTTGAAATTTATTTTTGGCTGCATTGGGTCTTCGTTGCTCTGCGCGGCCTTTCTCTAGTTGCGGCGAGCGGGGGCTACTCTTCGTTGTGGTGCGCGGGCTTCTCATTGCGGTGGCTTCTCTTGTTTCAGAGCACGGGCTCTAGGCGTGTGGGCTTCAGTAGTTGTGGCATGCGGGCTCAGTAGCTGTGGCTCGCGGCTCTAGAGCGCAGGCTCGGTAGTTGTGGCACACGGGCTTAGTTGCTCCGGGGCATGTGGGATCTTTCCGGACCAGGGCTCGGACCCGTGTCCCCTGCATTGGCAGGTGGATTCTTAACCACTGCGCCATCTCTTTTTAAAAGATTCCCGGACTTCCATGGTGTCACAGTGGTTAAGAATCCGCCTGCCAATGCAGGGGACACGGGTCCGAGCCCTGGTCCGGAAAGATCCCACATGCCCCGGAGCAACTAAGCCCGTGTGCCACAACTACCGAGCCTGCGCTCTAGAGCCGCGAGCCACAGCTCCTGAGCCCACGCGCAGCAACTGCTGAAGCCCGTGCGCCTAGAGCCCGTGCTCTGCAGCAAGAGAAGCCACCGCAATGAGAAGCCCGCACGCCACAATGAAGAGTAGCCCCCGCTCGCCGCAACTAGAGAAAGCCTGCACGCAGCCACGAAGCCCCAGTGCAGCCAAAAAGAAAAAAGATTCCCAAGGCATTCTGAAACAGCCAGCTTGATAACCATCGATCTAATGTCTTTATCTAGAATGGAGTTTTGTTTCTCTAGTGGAGAAATTATATTTCTCCCTCCCTGCCTCACATCCTCCCTTTCTCCCTCCCTGCCTCACATCCTCCCTTTCTCCCTCACTGCCTCACATCCTCCCTTTCTCCCTCACTCTATCCATCCATCCCTCCATCCAAGTTAATTAAACTCCAGCTCTGGCCCAAGCATGAGCTAGATGCTGGTGAGTGAGACAAGCCCTCCTTCTCTGCTCCTCCTCTCCCTGGAGTTCGCAAAACCTTTCCCAGAAGTGGCCCCTTGAAACATTCTCTCTCCTGAGGCTTCTGAGAATCATGGCCTCCCACTGGGCAGAAACCTCCCTGTTTGGGTAGGGTGGGCACCTTTGAGAGACCAGTGTGCGCACCTTCCTCAGATGCCTGTTCCTATTCCTAACACCCCAGACTGAAATCTTCTCCCCGTCTCATTTCAGAACCTCTCACCTAAATCTGCCTCCTGTTCCTATAGTAACATTTATGGAGGCCCTGTTGGTAGGTAGCATTGGGTACCTGGGCATGGGTGTGGAGGACATTCCAGTCCTGGCCCTCAGGAACCCTCCGTCTGGTGGACAGACAAGCTGAACGAGCAAGCACAGTCCTAGGCTAGATGGGGAGGTGTGGGGTGCTCTGGGAGCACAAACAACGGGACATGTCGCCAGGAGGCTTCTCAGGGAGGGACACCCGGTCTGCTGCTCTCTCCAGGTGGAGGACAGGCAGGGCTGTCTGTTGCTGTGCCCATGAATTCTGGCCTTCCTCAGCTTTCCTACGAGGTCATATTTCCTGGTCTCTAGCCCTCCTCCCAGATCTTTCTTCCTCATCCTTCGCCACAGTTTCCCACCCGTTCCCTTCATGCTGCCCGGACACAAAGAAGCCAGTGACACAACGCCCAGGGGTGTGTGTAGAGCAAGCATCTCCGCCAGCCTGCGGGCTTCCTCGGTGCTTGCCAGCGTCCGCCCCTGCTCCCATCAGCCTCATTTTTGTGGCTTGGACCTGCCTGTGTGCTTAGGAGAGGGGTTCAAAGTTTGGAGGATATGGTGGGGTGAGGCCATTTCAGGAACCTGGGCATTCAGGCCAGCAAGCGGCAGGCTCCCTGGGTGGAAGAGAAGCCAAAAACCTGGGGGAGCAAATATCTGAGTTCTAGACATGGCATGGCCTGTAGCTAGCTGTGTGACCTTGAGCAATCAATCTACCCTGAGCTACACTGAAGCTCAAAATCTTGGGCTCCGCCTCAGACTTAAGGAATCAGAATCTGCCTTTTAAACAAGATGCCTGGGTAATTCATATGCACATTAAAACTGGGGAAGGCTGCCCAGGAGACTTGCTTCTTGACATTAGCCTGTGGTTAAGGTGGTAATGGTGGTGACCACAGGTAGTGTCTGACCCCTTAGGGGGCCTCCTCTGTGATGTGAAGGGGTTAGACCAGATGACCTTTGTGGTAGAGGGTATAACACGGCACCTAGATGACAGATCTAGCCCTCAAACTAGTTTTGTGTGGCAAAATACTATGTTTAAATATTTTGGAATAAGGTACCAGTATTTAAAAATTGGGAAATGTCACGAAAATATCCAGACTTCCAGTTTTTCTCAAAAAATCAAACAATCTGGGAAATGGGCTACATTCCACATGGCAACAATGTCTTCTATGAGCAGTGAAACCCACAGCCCTTGCTCCAAGTTCTCCCAGCCACGAATACTTTGAAGATAAAAACCCAGGAGTCTCTTAAAACATGAAAAACTGCTCAGCTTCGCTCTTGATATGAAAATTCCAAATCAAATCTACACTGAGTCACCACGTTCCACATCTCACTAGCAAAGATATGAAAGTTTGATAACACGTTGTGTTGACAAGGGTGGAGGAAAATGGTCCCCTCACATACTAGTACGAAAGTAAGTTGGTACACCTCTAAGATGGATCATCTCTCATTATCTATCAGAATTACCAAACAACACCTACCCGTTGACCAAATAATACCAGTTCTAGAAGTTTAGTCGAAGACACTTGTACACATGGGAAATGTAATTGTAATGCACGCATACAAGGTTAGTCATTGCAGCACTGTTTGTAATAGCTATAGATCGGAAGTAACCTAATTGCCCATCGACAGGGGACTGGCTAGGTAAGTTATAGGACAGCCACATGATTAAATGAGGAACTCTTTTTTTAAAAAAACGTTTGTTTATTTTTAAATTTTTGTTGGAGTAGAGTTGATTTACAATAGGAACTCTTTATGTTATAATACAGAAGGAGGATCTCTAAAAAATTTCTGAAAAAGAGGAGAATGCAGAACAGCATGCAAGGTCCAGTAGCCAGTATTGGGGAGGGTATCTGTGGAAAGATGCTCTGGTAACACTGGCCATCTCTTGGGAGGGGACTTTGAAGACTAGGGCATAGGAATGGGGAGGACTCTTTTAACTACACTTTTGTACCTTTTGAACTTTGAACTATGTCAATGTGTTACCTACTCGAAGAATAAAAAACTGAAAATTTCCAGGGACCTAGATTCTGTGATTCTAACACTGCATGATTCTAATGTTTTGGAATTTGGTGAACCTAACTTATTAGGACTCTACAAGTCTCATGTCTCATGAGGCCAAGCTCCTAATGATTTACTAGCAGTGGTTCCCCTGGGTCTCCGGGCCTGCTCCGTCCCTGAATCGGGCCCCAGCAGCCCCTACGAGCTCAAGCAGCACTGAGCGAGGGCTCCCTCCCAGCACGGTGCAGCTGCACGAACTGTGGTGTCTCTTGGGAACGCAGCCTTTGGGCCCTCCCTCACCCTCTTTGCCTTCTCTGTCCTAGGGGAGCCTTCTCAGTGGTGCGCAGGTGTGTGAAGGTGCTGGCTGGCCAGGAATATGCTGCTAAGATCATCAACACTAAGAAGCTCTCGGCCAGAGGTAGGCGGTGGATCCGTGCCTGGCCTGCCCTCCGGGGCTCTCTTCCCTTCAGCCCTCCCTCTACCCCTTGGGTCAGAACCAGGATCTGGGTCTGTCCGCCTGGACGATGCTGCTGTCAGAGGTGGGGGCTCTTCTTCCTGTGGGTATGATGAGAATAGACACCTCCATATTCCTTCCTTAGAGGGTCTGGGCTGGAGGCCACAGCCTCTCCCACAAGCCAGGCTCTCTGCCCCTCATCCACCCATGCAGGTTAAAGACTAAGGTGCCAGGTAGGCCTTCCTTTCCCTGCTTTTCTGCCGCTTGCCTCCATTCTCACCGCCAGACCTCTGTACCTACCTTTCTCTCTGCCTGGATGCTCTTACCTGGCTCCTTACAAGGATAGCTCTTTCTCAACCTTCAGGTCTCAGTTCAATGTCACATCCTTTGAGAGACTTCCCTGACCCCCAAACCTGAGGGGGACTGCCCCATTTTATATCGCTCATTACTGTTGCCTCTCTTTGTGGCTTTCTACCAACCTGGAGCTATCCCATTTACTGTCTTGGTGCCTTGTTTAATATCCATGTTCCCTCATGACCATAAGCACTAAGAAGGTGGGAGTGGGTCTCATTCCCCATATACGCCCAGCACCTAGGACGGCGCCCGACGCGTCTGGGAGCTCAACCAGTGTCCCGTGAACTCCAAGTGCACTCTGCTTCAACCAAACCAGTCCACCCTCTGGTCCCTATATACTCCCTTGGACAGTGGCTTCCAAGCCTGGAATCCCCTGGAGAGCTTCAAACACTCCTGATGCCTGGATCCCGCAGGTTGCGATTTAATTAGTCTGGGTTGTGACTTGGGTTTTGGAAATGATCCCCAGGTAATTCTAATTAGGAAGTGGTCCTAAATCAATAACAGCATCACCAGGAGATTGTTAAGAATGCAAATTCATGATTCCAGATGTAAGGAATCAGAACCGCATTTTAACAAGACACTGGTGATTTGTATGGACGTTAAAACTTGGAACGCCTGCACAGAAGATTTGCTTCTTGCCCTTAGCATGTGGTTAGGGCGGTAATGGTGGTGACCATAGTCAGCGCGTTGGGGAGGATTATCTTCAAAGATCTCCGCTCTAGGGCTTCCCTGTATTCTCAGTGGTTGAGAGTCCGCCTGCCGCTGCAGGGGATACGGGTTTGTGCCCCGGTCTGGGAAGATCCCACGTGCCGCGGAGCGGCTGCGCCCGTGAGCCATGGCCGCTGAGCCTGCGTGTCCGGAGCCTGTGCTCTGCAACGGGAGAGGCCACGGCAGTGAGAGGCCCACGTATTGCAAAAAAAAAAAAAAAAATTCCCTTGACAAATTTATAGCATTTCAGAATATGAATTTATGCATTAAAAATAGCAATTTATAATACATAATGGACACTAGTTTATGGTGATACCGTTTTGTACAACAATAAATGTAATTAAAATACATAAGTAATAGTCAAATTAGCCAAAATTTTAGAAAAGAAAATATGTGTATTCATACATAAGTTGAGTAGTAAGCTATACATCATTTTCTCTAAAGTTGAGTTCAATCTTTCTCTATACTTGTGTGGTAAAAACATCCCATGTTACCATGCAGTGGGAAGATGTGGAAAAATTTTCGGTCAAACTGAGGATCCCAGAGCATCCTCCTTTGCATACTATACTGCATGTTTCATGTTACCCCTCAAATACATTATCTCATTACAGCCTTACAATGGGGGATCAGGGCAGACAAACTCACAACTCCACTTGACAGAGGGGAAACTGAGGCTCACCGCTCTGAATGGTGGGTCTGTGCTGCCTTGGGGACCCCCAGTGGGTGGGGGACGTTCTGTTGGGTGAGGTCCATGGCTTGTGCAGCGTGGAAGACATCGTGTGAGGGGTTGGTGAAGTGTCCAGGTGTTTGCCTGGCATAGTGGCATCTGTGTCTGGGCCAGGGCCCAGCAGGTGTGGATTTCACAGAGGCTGGCACAGGATGCACATTGTCCCCTGCAGGCCTCCCGGCATGTTCCGTGTTGGACCGTGTGCTGCTGCCTTTCATCTCTCTGGCTCAGTGTTGCTGTGAGCCCAGTGCTTTCTCCTAGTTACCGAACCCCCCCCACCATGGGCAGACCAGTGTCCTGCAAGGAGGAGAGGCTGGGCTGGGGGTGGGGGTGGTGCTCTGAAGACCGGGGCCCGCCGTGCCACACAGTCCACATGAACGCTGGCGTGGAAGGGCGAGACCTGTGGAAGGTCAAGGGCCAGAGCCGGGGGCAGGGAGCCAGGGTTGGCAGGAAGGCCAGTAGGAGCGCTGCCTCACCCAGTTGCTGGGACTTACCTTGCCGTCGCTGTGTGACTAGTGGCTGTCTGGTGCCCTCTCTGTGATTTACATCACTGTTGATCAAGGGAGATGTCCCAATCCCTGAGATACAGAGGGGGCGGGGCTAGAGCCATGGCTTGGGGTGATTGGTTGGGTTGCCCCCAAAATGAGGGAGGGTCAGAAACCAAGGTCTTGGGACTTCCCTGGTGGTCCAGTGGTTAAGGCAGTCCTGCCTTCCAGTGCAGGGGGTGCAGGTTCAATCCCTGGTAGGGGAGCTAAGATCCCACATGCCTTGTGGACAAAACACCAAAATATAAAACAGAAGCAATATTGTAACAAATTCAATACAGACTTTTAAAATGGTCCACATCAAAAACATCTTAAAAAAAAAAAAAAAAGAAACGAAGGTCCTCCCTGGATTCTGGGGAATCTTGGGCCAGTTCACCACATTCTCAGAGCCACATCCACACGAGCACACGACAGAAAGAGACAGATGCATATGGGGGGAATGGAGGGAGCATTGCCTATTTTCTGGAAGGTGACTAAGCATTCCAGGGACAGTGTAGACTCTGGGCTGTGCAGTAACTGCCCCCTCTCTGGATTTGAAGGGCCTTTGACCTCCTGGGAGGAAGGCTCTCAGGCCTAGGTGAATGTGAAGGGTGGGAGTGGGGAGCTTCTGAGAGAACCTTCCCAAAGAAGTCTGCCAACTGCCAACGCTTTTCTCCCCAGCAGGAGATGAGGGGCAGAGCTTCTTTTAGCAGGTTTCTTTGTTTGCCACTCACAGTGCCTGGGGTGGGGAGGGGTTTGATGCTGAATATTTGGCAACACATTCCAAGCTTCTCCTGCTGGCACTCCCCCACCCACCACCCACCCCCGTGACTTTGGCAGTTCCCAGAGGGGGTGCATGCCCCCGTGGGGTGTCCGTTCACTCCCGAGGGAGCTGTGTCTTCCCCTTCTCCACGGGGTCAGCCTCTTCTATCAAGCGTTTCCCAAACCCCGGAGAGATTTTTTTGTGTCTATTTTTAAACTACTCTTTTATATAAAATGCTCATAGTATAAACAATTCGAGGAAGCCATAAAGACATGAAATGAAGGTAAAAATATTTTCCTGTCCCAGTCCCTGCCAAATCCCCCTGGGGGCCTTTTGAAAAATACAGCTGCCCCAGTTCCACCCCTGAGGGTGTGGGATTCAGGAGGTGAGGCCCAAGCTCTTGCATTTAAAAAGTCCTGTCAGCAGTGACAACAGCCAGTACACGCTCAGCGCCAGCTCCCTGCCAGGGGCTCTGGAAGCTTCCTAGCTATAGCCTCGCCAGCCAGGCAGGCACACACAGAATTCATCAACATTTTAGGGCACGCTGGGCAAGCGGATGTGGCTGGTGCCGCCAGAGGTGACTGGCCCTCATACAGCGACCTCCATTAGCCCCACCTGAGCACTGAGGGGGTCACTTCCTCGGCTCCCCGGCCATCAGTCCCAGGACACTGGGTGGGAAGCACGGGGTGAGATCATTCAGGCTGCCCCTGAGCTTCAGGTCCATGCAAGGGAGCCTTCGAAGAGGCAGTAAGACACATCTTTCCGGTCTCTCTCATCTCCTTCCCCACCCCTGCCTGGCAGTCTTGGCCCTCGGGATTATTTCTCCAACCTCCTGGGATCTGGAGGCTTGTTGAAGTCCTGTGGGGGGAGGGGACATTTTCTGTTCCGAGACTCAGAGGTCTATTTTCTGCCCTGGTTCCTGTGCCTCTAGCCAGAATCCCGCTGCCCACCTGCCTGCTAGAGCCCACCCCCTCTGCAGGCAGAGCCCTCAAGCTGCCTGACTGCCCTTCCCGGGGCTCTGCTTTGCCCCGCTCTGCCCTGCCGGTACTGTCTGGCCCCAGGAACGTCTCCCCAGAGTTTCCACCCACCTGCTGCCTGCCGAGCCCTGGGCGGGGCTGACCCCCTTAACCCCAATATCTTGCCCCCAGGCCTGCCCCAAGGGACAGAGGGAGAAGATTCACAAAGCATTTATCATAATATGGGCATTGGGAGCAAGTCTTCCTGGTACCCAGGCAGGAGGCTGCAGACTAGCTTCTCTCAGACCCCTCACCATCATGGGCCTCTACTGAGCTGGATGGATTAATTTATCAATTATGAGAATGGGAGGCAATATAGTACAGTAATTATGAACATGGGTTGAAATCCCAGCTCTGCCACTTCTTGGCTATGGGAACTTGGACAAGCTGCTGTGTGGCTCTAGGCCCTGGGAACAAGGCAGAGACCAGCAGACAAGGTCTTGCTCTCATTGCACCTGTTTTCTACAGGAGGGAGACTGAAAAGAACATTAAACACACAAGTAAGCTGGGTAATTTCAGGTAGCAATGAGTGTTACAAAGAAAATAAGACAGGGTAATGGGGAAGTGATGGGGCTGGAGGGACATTCAGAAAAGGCAGCCGGGGAAGCTCTCTGAGGAGGTGACATTGTGCTGGGACCTGCCTGAAAAGGAGGCAGCCATGAGAAGACCCAGGAGAAGAGTGTTCCAGGCAGAGGGCGCATCAGGTGCAAAGGCCCTGAGGTGGGAAGGGGCTTGCAGTGCCTGAGGCTGCAAAGGAGGCCAGTGTGGCTGGAGCTTCAAGGCCAAGATGAGGTCGGACCCAGCACCCAGCAGTCTTCCTGGATGTGGTGAGGAGTTTGCATTGTATTGTAAGTACATTAGGAAGCTGTTGGCAAGTTTGAAGTCAGTATCTAATTTATATTTTAATAAGAGGTCCGTGGCTGCCCAGGACTATTGGCTGGGGGTTGGGGGGAGTGTTCAGGGTAGTTTCTCAGAGCTCTGAGTTGTAATAAGGCTTGATCACCTTGATGACCACCTTGATTTTGATAAAGAGACTGCTCCTTTAGCACTGGGCCTCAGTTTCCCCATCTGCCTAATGGAGCAAGGCCTCAGAGGTCAAGAGGAACCCAGTCCCTACGTTTCTTGAGGTTCCCTACGTATTAGAAAATGAAAACATTTCAGGGTTACAAAAATTATTGTATAAAGTACATGTTTACATTCAACAAATTAATGATTTTAGCACTGAAATTTGCAATGCAGTATAATTGTACTATGCACAAGATGATTACAAGATTTATAAAAACAATTAGTTCCTAGCTTTTCCAGCAGTGAGGTCTGGTAACCAGGCACATTTTCTCTTTTTTTAAAAATAAATTTATTTATTTATTTATTTTTGGCTGCATTGGGTCTCCGTTGCTGCGCGCGGGCTTTCTCTAGTTGCGGCGAGCGGGGACTACTCTTCGTTGCGGTGCGCAGGGTTCTCACTGCAGTGGCTTCTCTTGCTGCAGAGCATGGGCTCTAGGCTTGTGGGCTTCAGTAGTTGTGGCTCGCGGGCTCCAGAGCACAGGCTCAGTAGTTCTGGCACATGGACTTAGCTGCTTCACAGCATGTGGGATCTTCCCAGGCCATGGCTCGAACCCGTGTCCCCTGCTTTGGCAGGTGGATTCTTAACCACTGAGCCACCAGGGAAGTCCCCAGGCACACATTTGAAGCTGTGTGACCAACGTTTTCTTTTTTCAATCCTGTCAGTGTAGCTCTGCTCCCGGGTGACCTCGCGTGGAGAAAAACATCAGAATTCTGGATTTAGATCCTTTATCCCTTGAATGTGTAGCCTGGGTCAGGAGGCCCCCAGCCCCCTCTGATAGGCCCTACTTTGAGCTGCCTTGTTTCTGGTTCTGCTGGGGATGGGTGGGTGGGGGACAGGGTTTGGAGCTGGGGAGGGTCCAGCCTTCCTCAGCTCAGGGACGGCCCTTGGCCAGCCTTGGATGGGGATCCCCCTCCTTTGCCTGGGAATCAGCTTTCCTCCCCCCGCCCTGGAGGATATGGAAGGATGCAGAGAGGGAAGAGGAACCGGGGGATACCCCTAAGCCTGGACCAGCCTCCCCTCCCCTAGCCTGCAGCCGCCTTTAGCTGGGGAGTGGAGCTTCCACTCTATGGAAGGAGGATGGGTCTTAATTGCTTTGCTGATGGAAAAGCCACATTTCAGTAATGATCTTGGTTTCTGCAGCCCTTGGAGGATGGCTAGTGATTCCTCTAATGGAGGGGGAAGGGGAGAGGGGAGCTGGCTGCCTGGAGACAGGGCTGGGACTTTCTCCATCCTCATCATCCTCCCTGGTGCCCACCTGCTTTGGAGGGGCCGTTCAGAGACAGGGGTTCTAGTCCTGGCTCCGCTTCTGACTGTCTGTGTGAGTTCCCTCCTGTGGGCCTCAATTTTCCCATTCGGGAATAGGGGGCAGGTGGAGGAGGTGGTGATGAGTCAGGGTGTGGAAAATGGGACAGCACGGGGTTGTTTTTTGTTGTTGTTTTGTTTTGTTTTTTGCCGTGACACACAGCTTGTGGTATCTCAGTTCCCTGACCAGGGACTGAACCTGGGCCATGGCAGTGAAGGCCCGGAATCCTAACCACCAGGCAACCAGGGAACTCCCTGACTTAAGGTTTTAAAGCTTACGCCTGGAGCCTGACTGCCTGCGTACAAAGCGTGGCGCCACTCTCACCACAGTGTGACTTTGGGCCAGATACTTAATCTCTCTGAACTTCTGCTCCCTCCTCTGTAAAGCCAGCACAGTGCTAGAACCACCCTCAGAGGATTGTCATGAGGGCTTGAGATGCATATAAAGTGCTCTGCATAATGCCTGGCCCATAGTAAATAGTCTACATTTGCGACTGGCTCCTTTTAGATACTGTTTTGTTTTTTAAAATTAAGGCATTAAATACCAAATTGGAGAAAAGCACCAAAAAGGAAATTGCAAAATGCTTAAAATGGGGACAGTGATGCCCATAGCCCAGGGCTGTTGGGAGGACTGAGTGGGGTCACGGGTGTGATTGCTCTCAGCAGCCTCAGTATCAGATACCACAGGTGCAGACCCCAAGCAAGGCCTCTCTCCCAGGTGGGCAAGGAAATCCAGGGGATTTGGACAAAAGTCCTGAGAAGCAGGTGGGAGATCTCTGAGTAAGCCCTGAGGCTGCCATGGCCAAGTTGTACCTGCAGATTCTTTGGGGCTCTCTGTGTCCCTGGTCCCAACTCCTCTCAGGGGAGGTGGCTTCTGTGAATTAATACGGCCCTTCTCCTGCAGAGAATTCCCACTCCCTTAGAAAGTTTCGTTCATTCAGTCGTTTGTTCTTTCATTCAGTTATTTCTTGAGCACCTACTATGGGCCAGGCATTTGGGTAGATGCCACAGGTACAACAGAGACCAAGTCCTCATCCTCAAGGACAGCGATCGCCCTGAGACAGAATGGGACGTGCTGTCCAGGGGCCCCGAGAGCACAGAGGAGGAGCCCCTACCAGCTGGTAGTCAGGGCAGGCTGCCAGGAAAGGGCGACATCGAAGGATGGGTAGGAGTGAATGACAGCCGCTGAAGAACAGGTGGGAGGCTGAGAGGGAGCTTTCCAAGCTGAGAGAACCGCGTGTGCAAAGGCTCCAGAGTGGGAGGGCTGAGCAGCGCGTGCCTGGAGAGGTGAAGTTCAGCAGTTCAGTCCGTCTGGGGTGTAGTGTGAGGGGCAGGGCTGGAGGAGGGGCAGCTGGAGACTGTTGTGGGAGTGGGGATGTTCCAGGCTGCCTGGAGCTTGGCTCTGATACAGGAAGGAGATGCCCCTCGTTTGAGAGCCCTGAAAGCCAAGGGAGGGAAAGGGACTTCTGCGTCACTGCAAACCCAGCCTCTCTCTCTTTCGCTGCAACCCACTGCCTTCCTGGAGGACCCAGAGGCTCTGCCCAAAAGGCGAGCTTGCCCAGGGCACAGGTGCTGCCCTGGGAGGTGGAGGTCATTAGAGGCTGTGAGGAGGGAGAGATGGGGTGGGTGGAGGTTCCTCCCTCACCTGGACTCACCTGGGCCTCTGTGTTTCAGACCACCAGAAGCTGGAGCGTGAAGCCCGCATCTGCCGCCTGCTGAAGCACCCCAACATTGGTGAGCATGGGGGATGGGTGAGGGGTACAGGTGGGTCCTGGCCCAGCTCCCCTGCCTTCCCTGATGGGTGTTTGTTGAGGGGAGGGGGTAGCTGCTCTCTTCTCGGGGATCCAGGCGACAGAGGTGGGAAAGGGGGTGTCTTGGTTTCTGCACCCCTCGGCGAGCAGCTTGGCTGGGGGGGAAGGTGAAGAAGGGGCCCTTCCTCCCAGCCCACGCTGCCGGCAGCCTCCTTCAGAAAAGCTGTTTCAGGAAAACTCCCCAAGCTCTGAGAGAGACGAAAATAGGCCAAGCTTGGCCTTGACCGGTGCAGCCCACTCCCCAAACCTACCCCCACGCTGAGTCAGCCTGGCTCCGTGGCCCTGCCCACCTGCATAGACCTGCAGCGCCGGCCTCTCCGAGGCCAGCCCCAAGGCGGCCCCTGCCCAGGGTGGACTGAACGCAGGCTGCGTGGAGCGGCTGAGCCCAGGGCGGGCAGGATGGCACTGAAAGAGCACATCGCTACCTGACCTCCCCTCCCCCACCCCTGCACAACTGGGGGGCTGCGTCCCAGCCTGGCAGGGTTCTGAGTCATGGAGAGGAGGGAGTGCAGAGTCTAGATATAGTTTTGTCAGGGAACGGCTGTGTGACTTTGGGTAGGAGCACTACCCTCTCTGAGCCACTTCTCCCATCTTCACACGGAGGGGACTGTCTGGACCAGCTGGGCATATTGTTAAAAGGTAGATTCTGGTTGAGTGGGTCTGGATGGGGCCTGAGGTTTTGCGTTCCTAACATACTGCAAGGTGATGCCACGGCTGCTGGCTCACCAACCACACTTGAGGAACAAGGTCTAGGTGCTCTGTAAGGAACATTCCAGCTCTGACAGCTACCAAGCTTTCTCCCTCAGGAGGGAGGCATCTCTCTATGTCCAGGGCCCCAAGGGTTAACTTCCCTGCTGAAGAGAAGCATCTCCATCTGCTATTTATACCCAGAAGGCACCTCCCCTTCCCAGTGCCTGGGAAAAGGAGCAGAGCTGTACACACAGCAGCTAGAGGTTCCAGGGCTAGAATCGGAGAAGGGGTGGCAAGGTGGCTGGCGGGGAGCAACCCTGGTTGGATCCTGGCCCCTGACCTGTTTATGACCGTGGGCAGCTCCTACCCTCTCTGGGCCTCCAGCTCCCCAACTGTACAATGGAGGGGGTCATGAGTGGTCTCTGACTATAAAATCCCATGGTGCTTAGAAAGGCCATCAGTCCTGGAGGAAGGAGGTGGGGAGTGTGTGTGTGTGTGTGTGTGCGCGCGCGTGCACGCACGCGTGCGCCACTACACAATTGCAGCTGTCTCAGGTCAACGCTGCCTCCTCCTTCGCCCGCTCATTCCCAGCTCTAAAGGGGAGGAGTAAGTTATGGGCTCTGGGGATGACAGACTGCAGCTCAAATCCTGGGTTTGCTGCTTAATTGCTGTGTGATCCATGACATGTTGTTTAACTGCTCTGAAGCTCAATTTTCTCATCTGGAAAATGGAAATGATACATAGCTTGTAGGATTATGATGATCACATAAAGCATAGTACAATAACAACCCCCCGTACGTGCTTTATTATCATTAAGCTGCTCCACTTTTTCTCAGTCTATACCCTCCCACAGAGCACCCTTACCTGAAGTCTTGCCTCTTGCCTAAATCCTCATGATTCTCATTCCTTTGAGCCATGAAGATTTTGAGTCGTCAGTTTGGGGCATTATATATAACATAGTGGTTAAGAGAATGGAGTTTGTAGTCAGACACACCTGGATTCAAATCCCAGCTCTGCCTTTTTAAAGATGTATTTATTTAATTTATTTATTTTTGGCTGCGTTGGGTCTTCGTTGCTGTGCGCGGGCTTTCTCTAGTTGTGGTAAGCGGGGGCTGCTCTTTGTTGTGGTGCGTGGGCTTCTTATTGCAGTGGCTTCTCTTGTTGCAGTGCACGGGCTCTGGGCGCGCGGGCTTCAGTAGTTGCAGCACGTGGGCTCAGTAGTTGTGGCTCACGGGCTCTAGAGTGCAGGCTCAGTTGTTGTGGCGCACGGACTTAGCTGCTCCACAGCATGTGGGATCTTCCCGGACCAGGGCTCGAACCCGTGTCCCCTGCATTGGCAGGCGGATTCTTAACCACTGAACCACCAGGGAAATCCCCCAGCTCTGCCTTTTATATGGTGTTTGAATTTGGGCAGGCTATGAAGCTCTCAGACTCAGTACCCTTCTCTGTGAAATGAGGATAATCATGCTACTCACTTTCTAGAACTGTTGTGAGAGTTAAGTGAGATATTGTAAGTAAAGCACTTAGCACATGCCTGGCAGGTGGTAAAATCTCAGAAATGGCAGCTGTCATCTTCATCGTCGTCACTGAGTCATTTACTCCATTTATTTACCTGATGTCAAGGGCATCCAAGGCCCCACCATGTGTAAAGGCCTCTGCTAGTCTCTGAGGATGTGTGGAAGAAATGAGGATGGGGGCGATTTCTCTGGCGGTACAGTGGTTAGGACTCCTTGCTTCCACTGCAGGGGTTCTGGGTTCAATCCCTGGTCAGGGAACTAAGATCCCGCAAGCTGTGTGGTGCAGCCAAAGGAAAAAAAAAAAAAATAGAAATGGTGGTGGGGAGGGGGTGGCGGTGGCTGATGGACAGGGACGTGGAGAGCAGAGCTGAGATCCAGAACAGGAAGACACTCAGAGGAACTTGAAGCTATTGTTAGGGCTGGAAGTGTCCTTGGAGGGTACTGCTTCCTGAGGCTCCAAGCATCTCTGTTCAAAGTAGATTGGAATCTGCCCAAAGAAGTGCAAAGAGGTCCAGATGTGGATGCAGAACCTGAGAAGTGGGTCTGTGCCCAGAGAAACTAGGCTGAGTCCTATTCAGGCTGCTTGGTGAGTCCAGCCAAGGTCACTGGCTGCTGCCTGTGTATGGCCACTGCCCAGCCACACACAGGGGACTAGGTCAGGGAGGTCCCTGGCTCAGCAGAGGTGGGTCCAGCTGTGCTACGCACAAAGCATTTACCTCCTAGATCCTGCTTCGGGGAGGACAATACTCTATTCTTTGTACCATTAGCACCTGCTGATGAGGCAGACCCGCCCCTGAACCCCAAAGGCCACCCCAGGGAGCAGGAGACAACCTGAGAGTTTAGCAGGTGATTTGGGGTGGCCAAGGGAAGTGAGGTTAGTCAGTGATGAAGATGATGATGTCTTCATTTATTAAGTTCTTCCTAGTGCCAGGCACTGTGTTGAGTGCCCTACGAGCATCACTGCGTTAACTCCCCACACCAGTCCAGTGCAGTGGTATTAGCACTGCTGCTAGGAGAGGAGGCTCAGAGAGGTTATGTAATTTGCCCAAAGTTACACAACTTCTAAGAGGTGGAGCCGGAAGGCAAACCCAGAGAGTCTGACTGCAGAGCCCGTGTTCTCAGTCCTTCTGTGACTATCAGGAGTGTGCTGTTGGGGGTGGGGCAGTGGCCAGGGGGTCAAATAGACCCTTCAGTTTCAAAGAAAACAATGGTAACTGTTGGAAATAGCACAGGAGTGTCAGAAGTTCATGAATCCAGCTACACAAATGAAAACTAGGTTACAGATTGGTTTGCTCTTTGACAAGCAGTGACAGCATAAATCAATGAGCACAGACATGCCAGTCTCCCCACCAGGAGATGCGACTGTCACATAGGCCATGGCCCTTGAATCCTTGCCTCTCTTGGGCTCTCGGTTGAGTTTTTCCTGAGGACGGCTTCCATCCACGGCAGGCGAGGTTTTGTGTGTGAAAACAGCACTGAAATGAGGAGTCCTGTCTCCTGAGCGCTGAGCCGTGATGCAGCCACCTCTCAGGGATCGAAGCCAACTCCAGTATCATCCCTCAGGTGGAGGCCGGAATCCAGCCCATATCCCCCTCACCTGGCTGAGCAGAGGGCCAGCCTTTTACAATCAGCACAAAGGCACCATCTGAGCTACAGGCAGCTCTGGATACGCGCCTCGCCCCCGCATTCTGTCCATTTCCCTGAGCCCTGAGGACCTTCTCTAAAAGGGGCTGAGGCTCCTGTCCAGAGGGTAGATCTGGAACCCCAGTCTTCTTGGAGCTCCTCCGAAATGGCTGTTGACCCAGTTCTAAAAGCTCTTTTTGAGACGGTTCTGGATGTAGCTTGGCTTCTCAGAGCTTCTCACACTCAGGAAAGAGGAGTTAAAACACCTGAGCAGAGTAGACGGTAAGGAGTCTGCTGCCCAAGAATCCTCTTGGAGGAAAAAGGGTGTTTTTCAAAACTTTGCCCTGATACACTGTTAATGCAAGTTTATGGTAGATGAATGAGAAGACTAATAATTTTAGAGGTATCTCCTATAACCTCAGCATCTAGAGCTAACATTGATGATATATGCTTCCATGTAATATCTGATATCTGTACCTTCTCAAGTACATCTAAACATATTACCTCAGGTCAGGTTTCTGAGAAGCAGAGCCTGAGGCAGGGATTCAGGTGCGTGTGGTTTACTGAGGGTGTGCTCCCAGGGGAAGCCTGTAAGGGATGGGGTGAAGCAGGATGGAGGGAGGGGAGGGAACTGAGCAGAAATGTGGCCTCAGGTCAAGTCTAACTCTGACCTGGTCCCAGGTGCGGGGTGCAGTGGGGAGGCCTCTGGAACATAAACATCTGGAGTTGTCCCTCCTTGAGGAAAGGAGACTGGCCCTTTGCACAGACTCTGCCTCCCCACATTAGTCCATCATTGGCTGAAGGCTATAGGTAACTTTGTGGGCAAGGTGGCTCCATCAGCAGTGCACTATTCTCCAGAGAAGGAGAGCAACTGTGAGTGGTAAGCCAACCCACTGCAGCTGCAGGATGGCTGCACCATCTTACTAAAGGGGGTCTGGGCAGGGCACCAATGTACAGCTGTCAGATTCTGCACTCAGAAAATACAGGATGCTCAGTTCAAAACACATACATTTCAAAAGTCAAGCCTATCTTTGCTTTGAAATGCATTTACAAATTGAAATAGGTTAAAGGATGAAGGGATAGATAGAAATGTAATAAAGTAAGTATAATAAGACATTAATGATAGAACCCAGGTGGTGGGTGCTTGGGTATTCACTTGACTCTGTTTGAATTTTTTTTTTTTGCGGTATGCAAAAAATTTTTTATAATAAAATGTTGACAAATAATTAAAGCAGGATTATATTATATGTACTCTCAGGCTACCTACTTTTTAGTTTTGCTTTAAGATAGTTTAAAAACATCTTTCAGGGCTTCTCTGGTGGCGCAGTGGATGAGAGTCCGCCTGCCGATGCAGGGGACACGTGTTCGTGCCCCGGTCCGGGAAGATCCCACATGCCGCAGAGCGGCGGGGCCCGTGAGCCATGGCCACTGATCCTGCGTGTCCGGAGCCTGTGCATCCGGAGCCTGTGCGTCTGGAGCCTGTGCTCCGCAACGGGAGAGGCCACAACAGTGAGAGGCCCGCGTACCACAAAAAAGAAAAAAAAAAAAAATTTTCAGTCATTATTTATAAATATATATCATTTAAGATTTTTAAAAGACATTTTATTTAAATTTGTATCCCCTTCATCCTCCATCTCTGATCCTCATCTCTGTAGACACACTCTGGGGTATTTAATGCCTGCTTCTCCAAACTTTATGTGCCAATATGAGGGCCATAAGCTCTATAGGGGGCTCAGTATTGAGTCAGAAATACATGTACATGGCAGGAATTCAGATGGCACTAGGGCTTACAGCGAAAAGTCACAACGACCCACAACCCCAGCTGTCCCAGTTCCCCACCTCAAGGCACCCTCAGTGCCCACATCTCTGTATCCTTCCAGAGAGACTTATGCCGTACACAAGCTGAAATACATCCTTTAAGAAAAGGGCTATGCATACTGCTTTGCTCTTTGCTTTTTCACCAAACAGCATAATTTAGAGACGATTCCAAACCAGTGGATACATAACTGCCGCATTATTTTAACAGCTGTGTAATTTTCCATTGTGCAATGTACCATAATTCTTTGAGCCCACACCCCGCTCCACGGCCATTTTTAAGTTGTGGTGCAGGGAAGGACATGAACTTGTCCTGGGAGAACTTGTCCTTGGCTGGCAGGGTGTGGGACCCCACCACAGAGTCAGCCCCAGGCCTTGGGCCCCCTTTTTTCCCCCAGAAGCTCAGGGGGTAATTTGGAAGCTCTGGGCTCCTGGGAGCTCTGCCTTTGTTCCTGGTAAATGAGGTATGAAGAGATGACAGTTTCTCAGCAGCCAGAACTCAGGGACCAATGTCATTCCCCCCTCCACCAGCTCTGCTGTCACCTCAGACCGGGAAGCAGAGCAGGGCCATTAGCACAGGGCCAGCACTGAGTAAACATCGATTGTGTGCCTCATGGAATTCTCACAAGAAGCCTGCGAGTCCAGGAGTTTCATTCTCATTGTCCAGGCAAGGAAAGAGAGGCTCAGAAAGGGATAGCAATTTGGCCAAAGTCACACAGCTAGCAAGTGATTTGAGCCACAGGTCTTTCCATGACACTGGCCTTCCCAGCAGGGAAACTGAAGGTTGGAGTGGGAAGGGGACCAAACTTTGACCAAAGCCCAGGTCTTTAAGTCTTTAAGCCCAGGCATCTTTTGGGGATGCCTGATGTCAGTGATCCTTTGTTCATATGTATTTGTCAAGGCACCTGGCAACTGGCTTGTGCTCAGTGACTATCGGAGAAACTGAAATGTTGGCTATTTGAGGGGTGAGAGGGAGGCTGGGAATGGGGAGCCCTGTGTCCTGCGTAACCAGCTGCCTTGGCCCCTCCTACAGTCCGGCTCCACGACAGCATCTCCGAGGAGGGACACCATTACCTGATCTTTGACCTGTGAGTCTGGCCCCATCCTGGGATGTAGAGTGGGGATGGGGACAGCCTTGGCAGGGATGACCTCACTGGGTCTCTTGGCCTGAAGAGTCCACATGCCTCCTAGGTTGGGCTGAATTACCTCTTCTGATACAGAGTTTCCCAAAACACAGTAGGCCTGCCACCTGAGCAGTGCAGGCTGGTTTTCCTGACACACCAACAAACACTTTTAACTTCCATCATCATATATTTAGTTTCGTTTCTATTTGTGGCCAGTGATGCTGGTCTTCGTTCCTAGTGGTGATATAAAGTTTCCTTTTGGAATAAATTTAAAGTTTTTAAAGCCAGTCAATTGAATGAAAAGCAAACATGAACTGAGAGGTCTCAGTGGCTCCTGGTCTCATGGGTAAAGAACAATACTTGAGACAATGGGGGAGTCTGTGCATGTCAGGGTGGGGGGATGTGCAGCGGGGCTATAGGAAATCTCTGTACCTACTGCTCAATTTTGATGTGAACCAAAAAATTCGTTCACAAAAAATTTCACCACGTTCACCAAAAATTTAGCTACCCACCCCTCCCCCCAAAATAGTCTATTAAAAAACAAAAAAGCTCCAGCCATTGGGTTTCCAGGAGCCTAATGAATCACAGTGACGTGTTCTGAGTGTCTCACCCCCAGTTCTAACCTCAGCCTGGCTCTCCCCGAACGTGGATGGGAGAGAGGTCAGTGGAAGGGTGGGCTGGAAGTCAGGAAGGGGGTTGTAGTGGGGAGCACCCCTGTGGCTTCTGGGGCCCCTCCCTTTGGGCCTGAGGTTCTGAGGTCCCTGGGCCCCACTCTTAGCTTCCTGGAGACTTTTCCAAAAGACGTGGCACCTGGGGCCTCTGTGGGTGAGTGACTCTCTGCCTGTCTCCGCAGCGTCACCGGCGGGGAGCTGTTTGAAGACATCGTGGCCCGGGAGTATTACAGTGAGGCAGATGCCAGGTGAGTGCCAGGTGCAGCCTGGCAATGGTGCTTGGGGGCAGGGCACTCCCTCCTGCTGGCTTCCCAGGGGAGGCCCGCCCTCACCCCCTGCCCCCTTCCTCTCTCTCTTCAGTCACTGTATCCAGCAGATCCTGGAGGCTGTGCTGCACTGCCACCAGATGGGGGTGGTACACCGGGACTTGAAGGTGAGTGACCCACCTGAGGGTGAGGCTCACCAGGAGCCTGCTCCTCCGTCCCCTGCCCTTCCCTCCACCTGCAGAGCCAGGGGTACTATCAGAACCCCGTTAGCTTCCCTGAATTGGGCTGGGTGGGGAATATCTCCCCCACTCTTCAGATGAGGAAACCGGGCTCAGGGAGGTAGAGCATCTGGGCTGGGGACCCAGGTTTCCCGATTCCCAGCCTCAGGTGCTTTGTGCCAGGCCAGGTGAGAGGCAGCTAGGCCACCAAGGCTGGCTCTGGTGGAGTCCAAATCCCAGCTGGGCCACTTTCTAGCTGCACTGCCTCAGCTTCGTTATGGTCGGGGTTGCCATAGCAACCTCATCACAGGGTTGGTGAGGATGTCAAAGGAGACAGCACAGTGCCCGGTACACAGACGCGTTATCATTCTTGCTTCCGGGCCTCTGTGGGGAGTGGTGAGGTAGGAAAACAGGCTTTGGGGCCCTCCACGTCCTCCCTCTTCCCACTTGAAGGAGATGGACTGGGCTAAGCAGATGTGGAGTCTAAGCTTGGCACCAGCTGCACGGCCTCGCCCGGTCAGCACATGCTTCTCGGTGCTCCTCTGCTGGGCTTCAGGGCATCAGTGTGTGGTAGCTGCATAACACCACCCCCATTTTGCAGAGCAGGAGACTAAGGCCTAAAGAATCCAAGGGATTTGCCCGAGAACAGGCAGTTCAGTTGTGCCTGAGCTAGGGCTGGAGCCCCGCACTTCTGACCCCAGATCCCATGCTCCCGGTGGGCTGGGACCAAAACGCTACTCACTGCACCTCCTGCTTCTGCAGGTCACCTAACCCTTCTAGGTGACTCTGCCAGGTGTCCATCAAACCTCTGCTTTTTGACTTTCAGTGACTATGAACTCACTTCTTATGGGGTAGCCCCTTGAACTATCAGGAAATGCTCCTTCAGTCTTTCCCACTGTGGGGCTTCACCTGTGAACCCCACCCAGTTCTACCCTTCGGGGCCACACGGAGGTCAAGCCTCCAGCTCAGAGCACCCTGGAGGCACGTGAGTGGCTTTGTAGTGGCTCCTAAGGCTTCTGCAGGCTCTTCTCCTCGTTCCCCCCCTAGGATGGGATTTCTAGGCCTTCCTCATCCCAGGTACCCTCTCTGGGCATCCTGCAGTCAGTCCAGGTCCCTCTTTGGGGTGCAGTGCTCTGACCAGAACCCCTGGTCACCTCTGACTGTCACGAGCCATCTGTGGCTCTGCACCTGAGCCCAGGTGAGCTCCCAGTGTCTCAGTCTAGACCCGCAGGCAAGTGTGCACGCAAAGAGAGTCTCTGGTCAGACTGCAGGGCAGCTTTCCCCGAGCGCCTGTCCCCATTATAACCATAACCCCTGCATGAGAGGAGGAACAGGGAGAGGCAGCACAAATTTAGGCCATTCCGGATAGATTAATTAGTGGCACATTCATCAAATCAGGGCAGGACAGCTACTGAGACCCAGGACGTGTTGGGAACACTGTCCCCAGAGGACCAAAGAGGCCTTAACGAGGGGCAGAAGCAGCTATACTTGTTTGCATCCTGCCTAGTTGGGGCAGTGAAAGGTCAGGTGTGGGACTCCTCGGAAGTCCCAGTAGGGACGGGGATCAGAAGAAACTAGTTGTCTCCAGGGACTCGGAGCCCCCGCCCTTCCTCCCCAAA